ACACTGGCTCTTACAGATGGTCAGCCTCTAAAAAACACAACTTTGCTCATTAGCTTTTTCAATTTAGGCCCTGTTTATAGCTGTATTGTCCTAATCGCTCCAGCAGTTTAGCAAATTACAAGCTTGCTACATTGCTTTTCATTTTTTAAGTTAAAGTACTTTTTGCTTCCTAATGTTTCTTTATTCACATTTTTTTTTACCTGTGTTTTAATTTGTGAAACTATATTTTAGTTGTAATTTATTTATTTATTTAGTTTTGCTTTTAAAGAACTTTGTGTTTCAAATCAAGAAACTAATTTGCTTCAGATGATTTAAATGATTTACTCCAGATAGAGTGGTGTAATGCAGAGTAATGAGGCGTGGTGTTCATGGCAAATTGTAAAGGGTGAGAAATGAGTCAAACCTTGTAAAACAAATGCAGTTTTTAGAATAAAGAGTAAAGCAAAGAGCAGGAGGAACATAAAGGGAAGGTCAAGACTCGCGAGAAAACTTGACAAGCAGTCTGTTGCAGCTCCCCATCTGAATATTCCCACATAACACAACATGGCAGAAGAACCTGATCCAGTTGATGAGACAGAGAATCCTTCAGCAGCGGCTGAAAAGACTGGATCACTTTTCAGCCGCTGCTGCCTCGTGCTGACAGGCTGACATGTGAGGTGGAAACACTGATTGTAGTGTGTCTGTTGAAAAAAAAAGGAAAGAGAGTCCTGAGGAACCGTCTCTTTAATAGTTTAGTAATACGTAAATGTATGTACCGGTATATAAAGAGCTTCAGATCACTGAGATTTACATCTGGAGACTTGTTTTTCTTTTGTTGTTGTTTTTGTTCTGGATGACTGAATATGTTACATGTAAAGACTTGTGGATAACAGATCATCAGAGTGGACTGATTCGTCTGGCGTTATGAACATGAACAGCAGTTTATCAGGACTAATGATTAGCCGGTCAGCAGCATAGTCAGGACTAACGTCACTTGTTTTTGCCCCCTGAGGCACAGGTATCATACAGCAAATGGAAAAAAAACAGACAGACAGTGTAACCCTAATTTCCCACGTGTGGGACTAATAAAGGTTATCTTATCTTATCTTATCTTATCTTATCTTATCTTAATAACACAATGTTACTGGAAGGTCTTGTGATTTCTAATGGTCATAACCTGACTTTGTAGGTTGTAAACCGTTACAGTTACATTTAAGTAAAGTCTGAGAAAAATATGAGAGCTTAAGATGCAGGTGTAATTGTTTGTTTCTCACCTCCTCTCCAAACTTTCTCTGGTTGGTTTAGAGGTGTTTTATGGCAGGGTTCCTGGGGGAATGTGCCAAGTATGGTTTAAAGGAGGGGGGTATTTGGGAGTGTTGTGTTGATCTGACATCAGGTTCATTCTCTTAACATTAATAGTTTTCCACTCTTAACTTGTTACGTTTGAGAGGAGCTGCTCTCTATAAGCAGGAGTCTGAGAGCACCTCGTCCTGAGATATATTGTGAGCAGTCATTGGCTGAACGATGTAGTCCTTTCCTGAGTTTACTTTTTGGTTTTCCTTTTTAATTTGAAGACTTTCTGTAGTTAGCTAGCTTCATTCTTAGCTTTTCCTCATTTTTTTCCAAACAGGTCAGAGGTATGTACCACGAAGCGAGTTCAGTATTATGCTGTTAGCTACTTTAACAAAACCTAAGCATCAAATGTTCAGAGATAATGGTATAAAGTCAGCTCTCCCTGTTAGCTGTTTTTGCTTCAGCCTCTTCAACCTTCACAAAATGAACTGACTGAGTGCTGCCAACTTAATTCAAAGACATTATCAGAGGTGCACGTCACAGAAATCACTGCGCATTAGAGCTCTGAAACTGATGAAGGAGACTTGGAAATCAAGTTTGCATCCAGATCAAAGGGAAATTTTACTGTCTGCATATTCTTGGTGACAAACGTACCACAAATAGACTCACTGTTTTTCTAATCTGTGATATATCAGCTTTAATTCCCAAAGTGCGAAAAGAGCTTTGGCAAAAGGAAAGGAAAAAGCAGACAGAAAGCTTGTAGTGTCTGCTGTGACACACAGATGTATCTGCAGTCAGTTTTTTGGTGTCCTCAAAACACACAAGAGTCAGTATTAAACTCAACACCTCACTTTAAGATGTTTTTCCACAGATCATTTGCCTCACCCCTCTTTTGTGTCCTCAGTTCCTCTCTTAGTGTATTAGTCTTAGCCCCTCCCTACCACAGAAAGCAGAGGAGGCAAGGAAGAGACACAAGGAGAGGAATCAAGGCAGCTGGTGTTCAACAAAAAGAGATGTCCGTCCTTCAGGGCCTCCTTTAAATACGATGAGTGACACATCTGTCAGAAATAGATTTATCATCCCAGGTTTAACAGTGCAAATGATGTGTTTTATATCCAGGGGTAATTTTAATAAAGTAACATGGCACAACACGCCATATAGAAATATTATCACACATACGATCACACATGGATCAGCAGATTATCGATTACAGCTCCTGGTGCTCCCAGCTAGTATCCCATTCAGGCACAACTGTGGTCCAAACAGCACTTCCTGTCTGACTGGTCTGTTTAGCTCTGATGTTTTTAGCACTGACTGCTGAACTTATTTGGCATCATTTGGTGTGCTCTTTCCTGCTAACACCACCTGTGGTTGTTTTTCTCAGGTACGGCCCTCCTAAACTCACAGGACACTCAGCTGTCACCTATAAAGACTCAATGCTCCTTTTCGGTGGAGGCGAGACCCAGGACTCTCCAAAGAACTGCCTGTGGAGATACAGCTTCATCACTCAGACCTGGATGCAGCTCACCACACTCCCGGGCTCCAACCCCCCAGACAAGATTCACCATTGCTGCACTGGTCTGGGTCCCAGCTACAAAACCAGTAGCACCAGCAAGAGCTTCTGCTCAGACTCAGGACTCCAGCCCAGGTTACTGGGAGGGAAACTCAAGCCGTTTAAGAACAAGTGCTTCCCAGCACCAGATAACGCTATAGAGCTGGAGACTTTCACTCCAGACAGAGAAGCCAACAGAAGTTCTTCAGAACTGGAGACCAGCAGAGAGACCTTAATAGAGATAGATGGTCAGCGTATTGGAAGCTGCCTGACATTTGAGAACAAAGCATTCATAAAACAATGGAGCTGCTCAGAGGAGGAGGCGCTGGAGGACAAGGATGGAGACATCACTCAGCATCTGCCCGACCTGCTGCTGGTGCTCGGCGGAAAACCTTGTACGAGAACCAGCCCCATCTCCATGTGGCAGGTGACGATGATTGACTGAATAAACGATTCTGTTCTCTGCGTGAGAAGCAGGTTTTAATAGGTGTTACTAGCTTTCTGTGAAAAAGAAAACAACATGAAATATTTTTATACTTTTGTACAGTTTATACTTTTGTACAGTTTCAGATTTTTACATTTTTTGCAACATTCAAGTAAATTGTGGGAAAATGGCATTACAGAAAGCTGTGTCCTGTTAACAGTGAATGTGAAAAAACACAGTATCTGTTCTGTGTATCTGTTTATAGTTTCTGTAAGAACAGGGAAGGTATTGGAATCAGATCTTTAGTGAGCATCAGCCCAGGGTTAAATACAACGCACAAAGGAAACACACTTAACTCAACTTGCAGTAGCTTGGCTTCACTAACGCGTGGTAGACAACGATCCAGTGACGAACAGCAGTCACCTTCTGGCTTAAATGCTGATCATCTTAATGAGACCCAGGTGTCCCATCTCCCGTGGGCGTGGGCCGAGGGCGTGAACCCACAGTGAGTTCCGAAATGTTTTCACCTGCTCAGAAATTTGAACACAGGCCAGCCTGACAATCTTCTAAATCGTTTTGAAGTGCAATCAACGAATGCTTTCACCTAACAGTAATGTCAGCTACACTACACAAGAGGGCGCCACATCTCCACAGACTCCATCAACGAGCTCCAGGAGATGAACTGCTTAGCTATGTCTGTTTTCACTTCTGACTAAAAATCCCTTTGGACTAACAGATGGGTTTGATTTCATCTTTAAAAAAAAAAAAAAAAAAAAGAAGTTGTGTCTGTTTTTAAAAAGAACTGTCGTTTACATCATGAATTCATGGCTGTTTAATGGGGATTGAGCAGGTCATGAAAATCTGAAGTTTTTATTACATTAGATGCAAATATTGTCACCGAGGGGCTCCCGTACCTTCACTGTAACTGATGTAGTTTGTACAATGGTGCTGTTATGTCCTGTATGCTGTCTGTGCTTTATTTTTTGAGTAATGTGTAACACTTTAATGTAACTGCCTCAGAGTTACTGGATGTCTAAAAAGATCTCTATATGACCATTGGCGCTTTATTGCACTGAACTTTTATGACTTTTATGACTTTCTAAATTTAAACATGTTTCATGGCTGACCCTCTTTTTCCCCAGAATGTCCTGTTAGAAATGCCAAGGCTTCAAATGTTTTTTCTTAATCCACTTCTGTAAATTGTCCCTGTAAAGTGCAACAAATCCTCATGTTTGAGGTTTGCTAAAACCCACTCTTTAAAAATGAAAAGTTACATATTTTTGAAAAATATCTGTGGACTTCAGGCTCGGTTTACCAAAAAAAAAGGGAAGTCAGAATGTAAACCTCAGAAACTTTGGATTTCCACTTGATTTTACAGAGAAGTTCAGTGAATTTGAACACCGGGTCTGCCTAGAATCTCAGCATTAATAAAATGCTAAATAGAGTTCATGTGGACCTTTATTGATCCAACTTTTATTTTCTCTCTGAAGTACATCTGTTCTGGGATTACTCTGGCTTTGCGTGAGTACACCTGTAGGAGAGTAACTTAATCAGCTATTATGCTGCAGACCAGGCTGCTCTAATCCATCGCCGCCGCTGCTGCTCTTCATTTCTTTTGACCTATTGACCTACATTGCTGCTACACACATGACACACAGACGCTTCTGAAAACTACAACAGGCACTCTTACTGGGACTTAAAGGCTGCACAGTCTAATCTGACTGCTGTGCAACATACTGGCCCTCATTTAGAGCAGCAGGTGCCTTTTCCTTTGGGGATTGTAGTTCTAAAGACCCGATGAAATCAATCCAGCACTGATGTTTTCTTCTTATGTAGTTAAATTGAGAGGTTATTACCAAAAGAGTGAAGTATAAAATATCAAGTGTTATAAGTATTATAACATCCCTTTACAAATGGATTATTACATTGAATCATTATATTTAAAAAAAAAACAAAAACAGATGACATTTTTAAAAATCCAGTTTACATATTTTTTTTAATGCATTCAGCATTAAAAGCTAAAATTTCAGATGTGATATTCAGACTCTTTTTTCAAAGCCTGTTTGACAGCAGTTACATTGTGGACATCTTGGTTGAGTGTGTACAGACTCTTGGATTTGGGAAGTTTCTCCCACTCTTCCTAGGAGATCATCTCAAGCTTGGTTGGGCTGGATGGGGAGTCTCCTGTCCCTGGAGAAATCGCTGTTGAACATCTAACCTTCAAACTGTGGATATGCTTGGCTGAAATCACCCTAGCAACCATATCTACTAGTTGAGGAATGCCTCCACAGCATGATGCTGCCTCTACCATGCATCACTGCAATGGTGGGCGTATCAAGTAAAGAGCAGTGCCTGGTGTTTTTCCTGGAGTTCTGCCAGCGGGTATAGTTTTTCTTGCATCAGACATGGCAGTATGTTTCCTTGTGTGCTGCTCATGGACTGTACAGCTGCTGTGATGTCACTCATTGGTTTCAGTCTCTAAGCTCCGAAGTATCCGCCATGTTTTGTTGGAGAAGAATTCCACATATTTTGAGGCCCGAGGCTCCAGAAAGATCATAGACTGTATGGAAGCATCACACAGATTAGTGTGATGCTCAGTAACATGCAATTGAAATTTTAGAGAATCACTCATTTAAACTGAAGTATAAACTTTTAGGATGGTAGGGTAGGTATTCTGGACGATGGCCGAGAGGACACCCTAGTTTGCTATTGAGGCTGCAGATGACTAGATGACTAGAACTATTCTACATACATGCATTGACAGCTGTAGGGCCAAACAGGCATTTCGATAATACTTAAACTCACTTGACTTTCATTGGTCACTGGTACACTGGCAGCAGGCATGTCATACTTACTGAGTCCACTTTTCTCCTAGAAATACTCAAAGGAAGGCGAGGAGAAGATAACTCAACTATGGATTTCATCACAGAACTCTCCAGAGAGCTCCTTGTCCTTCATTTACTGGGAGTTGTGAGATAGTCCTAAATTTAGGAGTGTCTTCCTGTTTGTGTATAGCAGCAGTGTGTAATGAGGTCTTTCTGTCGATAGATGGCGCTGTTTGTCTGATAATTTGTGTAGTTATCAGCCCTGCGTTCTCCTCATTTAAGTTCCTGATTTCATTTATGGTTCCATCCACCTATTTTTAAAGGTTGCAGTGAAATATAAATTCAGTCTTTAATGAATCTGATTAAAACTATTTTTTTTTCTATAGCTCACAAACACAAGTGAATGAATTAAAGATACTGAAAATGGTTCTGTATGGGCTGTAATCTGTGTGAAGTTCGAATCCTGTGTGGAAACACACGTTTGATGCTTTAAATCTAAAACGTTTAAAAATCTTTAGAAAGTAATAATTAAAATGACTAATTTCGGGGGTCTGACTGTGCGCGGTACCTCCGCTAAAGGGGCCGTTATAAAACTTCCTACATTTGGATATCAGGTGATCACCCACACTGAAGGCTGTAAGTCAAATATTGCCAAGACCTGAGGGAGAAAAAAAATTATGCAACCGCTCCGGGGCCTCCGTGTTACCATAATAAAACCATGTCCCACAGTCGTGGATCTTTAGACGTAGTAATAATCCCTTGCGCGCTGTTGGTGGAAATCCCCACGTGGTGTACGAATTCCTGTATAAAAACTTTGGGTGTGCGGAGCCCCTGTTGTCGTGATTGCAAAGAGAGGAAAGGGTCTCACTGAGCATAATCTTGCAGGACGCACGGGAGCTTGCCACCCTCACCCGCGCACGGCGCACACACAAAAAGACTCGGGACTCACGGAGCGCTTGCGTTCTGCTTGAAGCTGCGGGACAGGAGTCTCCGCAGGCTGCTTGAATGGAGAGGAGCCGCCTGTACGGGGTTTTATTCACACTTGTGCTCTTTTGTTTTGGCAGATTACGCGTCTGAACGCAGCGTGGTTTGACAGAAGCGCATCAACAATCAGAACTGTCGTGCGCGCCTCTTGGTTACAGAGATGAACTTTTATTTTGTTGCTGGATAACGAGCTGGAAGCACAATGACTGGAATCGTTTAGTCTCCTGGAATACAAACACATGCTCAGTGGATTTATTCACTGGATGATTTCTCCCGGAACTTTAGTAAATGAAAAGTCGCTTAAATTTCGGTGTGCATTTTTGAAAGATTCACAATTTCTTTCGTAGCGTTTGGACTGTAGAATAAACTTTAAAATGAGCTTTTATAGTGTGGCACTGTCTTGTTTAGTTGCGTGCGTGCTGTGCGTGCGCAGCAGCTCGGTGACCGGGACAGAGACTCAAAGCTCACCCCAGGAGTCGTGCGCGTCCTGCGGCTTCAGGGGGCCGGATCAGTCGGAGCGCATGAACATAGATTTCCTGGAGGCGGTAAAGAGGCACATACTGAACCGGCTACAGATGAGAGAGAGACCCAACATCACCCATCCCATCCCGAAGGCTGCGATGGTGACGGCGCTGAGGAGACTGCACGCCGGCAAAGTACGAGAGGACGGCCGGGTGGAGATCCCCAGCTTCGACGGGCAGGCTGCCTTCAACAACGAGGTTCAGGCGGAGACATCTGAGATCATCAGCTTCGCAGAATCAGGTACTAATCAATAATTCACTGCACATGTCTAATTCGACCCTTGCCTGAACTCTTTCACCCTTTGAGTCTTAACAGGCAGCATGGCACCAGGTGAGTTAATAACTGACAATCCTTAGCAGGTGAAAAATATATATATAAATTACATATATTATATACGCTATAATATAAGATCATCTATATTTATATATATATATATTATATACTATATATATATACTATTCTCTGTTGACTATATATATATATTATATATATTTTTTTTTTTGTTTTTTTTTTTTTTTCTTTAAGCGGCAGACGAGCCACATACAAACAAGCCAATAAACCAGCTAAACACGGAATCTGGTGCAGCCGTCATTTTTTCATCATCTTATTACGTCACACTGGCTGCTGATTTAAATCCTCCTGTTCTGGAAATCCAGAAGAAATGAAACCAAAGACAGAGTCCTTAAATTACCCCCCTGTGTTGTCTAGGGGATAAAAAAAGCACCTCTGAATCCAGTTTCATCTCAAAGCTGAGCTCACACTCAATACTCCAATGTATAAAGCCCTCTTTTAAATACGGACAAAGTCCCTCAATTGGCCATTTATCCCTTCCTCTAAGAATGTGTATCTAACTAATTCTCAGAAGTCTAAAGAGACACACACACACACCCTCCTGTGTGCGCACACACCCTGACACACAGCCTCAAAAACACACATACACACACACACATATACACAACAAAATCATCGACAGAATGGAATAATTGTCACTTGGTGCTGTGAGTACCACGTCTCCAGCACAAACTGTTAGTTTAAGAGAAAGGAAACATAAAATTAAACTCACAAAAATAAGATGCTTTGTACACACACACACACACACACACACACACACACACACACACACACACACACACACAGGTTTCCCATTGGCTCTGCAGCTACAATTAGCCTGAATGGACTGCGAGCTCCTGCCTTCCATTGGGAATGATCTGAGCGCCCTCATGACAAGGCAACAAAGGCCGGGCAATTATTATAAGAGCTCTGTGTGTTCACATCATGTCAACATGGAGAAGAAAAACAGCAGCGAAAACAAAAGAAATTGCTCAGAATAATGTATGAGACATCTGAGTCCATGCTGGGTTGGATGAGGTGATGGGACTGTTGGTGCTGTTAGTGTGTCTGTGTGTGTGCCCATATTGCAGCGTTGCAAAGCTTTAAAGGTTCGCTGGGCTCCTTTGCTGCTGCTTCTTCTTCTACTTCTGTGTTTTTCCTCGCTCTATTCTTCCTCACACCTTTGAGCCTTTGTGTGGCATTGTACCATGGAGCTGGCTCGGGTCCCTGCTCCCTAGACCCCGTCTGCCTCCCGGCCAGCTGGCTCGAGGCCCCCCAGATCGGATGCTGCCAGCCAGGGCACGGTTTAGAGGCGAGGTCTCCAGAATGCTCTGAAGCCAGGGGAGTTTGTCCCTCCCCAAAGATGAGGAAGCCTGAATTGTTGTTTTAGAACAAGGCGAGATGGGGGGTGAAGTTGGCATCTGTTTAGCCAACAGAGAGCCAGTAAATGGATGCTGATAGGTGTTTGTGTGCTTTGTTTTTCTGTGGGGTCAGCTTGTGTCCCGTCAGCGCAGGGTTAACCGCAGTGCCTTATCTCCGGTAGCACAGTGGTACAGAGTCTGCCAAGTGGCCTCGGGCAGGTGAGGGAGGGGATGCCAATCTCTCTTCTCCCCTGACATGCTCCCGTGGGCCCTCACTGAGGGATTCGGTGTCCCGTATCCACAGGAGCGAAGCGGGGAACACGGGCAGAGAAGAAGGGAGGGCGAGAGAGAAAGCGCTGGATGGAGAAGTTCAGATGGGCGCTTCTCGATTGCTCGGTGCCACTGCTTGGACCCAGTGAACTTGTGACAAGTGGTCCAAAACTCAGAATTAAGACTTCATTATGGGAGGTCACTAAGTAGTTCCTCCACAGGATCAGGTTGGCAGGTTTACTGCAGGACACTGCTCTTTCATGAGGAGCTGTCAGTCATGGCACTCCTGGACCTGCTCCAGCCATTTTCCACATTCACTCAGCGGGGTGTGTTTCAGTCAGTGGGATCGGCTGCTACTGTATAGCTCCTGATCCTATAAATGATTTATGCACAGTGATTAAAAATTCCTCTGTGGTAAAGCTTTAACAGCAGCAGGTCCAGCACATTTGTGGCTTTAACCTCTGGTCAAGAGTCCAGAGTCTCACGTCCACGCCTCCTCGGTCTGTGTGGAATTCCTTGAGAGCTGAGGCCTGAGGGGTGGCGGCCATATGACACGTTAGAGCCACGCCGTGTGGTCTTGTCGACAGCATCTTTGAGTAATGAGCTCTGAAGCTTTCTATCTACCTGCCTACTTGCCTGCCTCCATCCACAGCCTCCTCCCTGGCTCGGCAGCGCAGGTGGAGACACGCTGAAACAGCCCACCCAGGTGTCCTGCCTGCTGATAATCACTAACAACGTTTTTCCACTGTGGGGTCAGGCGAGGCGTGTCCAGGCCAGCTCCAAGCTGCTTGTAACACAGCATGAAAAGAACAGTTCATTCCTCCTAAAGAACCTCAGCTGAAATAAGTCATGCGGTGTTCAGATGTATGCTCTTACAGCGCGAGGATCTATATGGTCCATGACGCTGAAGGAGTGATTGTTAGGGCTCCACTCAGAGAATCATACATATGCCACCTGTCTACAGGTAGAAGCTACGTTAGACACTGTGGTTTCAGGCTTATTTCAGCACTTGAAAACCTTTCATATCAAGCAGAAGTCCATTCATGCCTTTGTAGTGGCAGATTAAACCTGCCAGTTGTCGTGACGTTGCCGATTTTTCCTGTGGATTTTAACCCTTTACCATCCACAAAGTCACAGGGCAACCACTTAGGGTTAGGGGTTGGTGGCATTTTAGCTACTTCAGAAACTAGAAGACATGACCTTTCAGATCAGCTCTGTCAAAATGCAGTTTTTTGCAGTTTTTCTGTGAGTTTTATTTCCCTCTAACTATGCAAATAAGTGAAAATTCCATCAAAATAAGTTCATGTAACCATAACCCAGGTAGCTGTTAAAAGCAGGGCTGGATATGGAAAAAAAATCATATCAAGATCTTTTTTTTTTTCATATCAGTTGAAATTGATCTATATTATGATACAAAACAAATCACTATTTCTGTGAAGCCTAAAGGTTTCTGTTCACTCCAAAGTGTAGATATGAGGCTATTATATAAAATATAATAGATATTAATACATATTAATTAATAGATATTAAATGTTTATGATCAGGGAGCCAGATAACAAGGATCCGCTGCTTAAATCCAACATTTTCCACTCTGCTTGCTGCCGTAATGTCTTACAATGTAATGCATTCGTGATGTCACTGTGTCACACTCTTTGGCTTTTGCTGTAAAAGCATGTTACACAGAGAAAGAGTCCTGGTTTGTATACAGTCTTGGATTGTGTGTGCATTTTGAAGGTAAAAGGTCAGCTGTGCACTGATGCCACTGCTTCAGATTGTATAAACGATTCATGGTGTTGCCTGCTTTTGTGGGAACAGTTTGTGGCGCATGCTGCTCTGCTTCTTTGTCAGATTTGAAATGGCCAACATGTCTTCACAGACCACCGGAATCCTCGGATGTTTTAGTGGAAAACGCCCGATGTCTGTGTCGATGACACTGTTTTTGTTAACGTTTGTCATTTTCTCTTTCATGTCACTCACACTCCTGTCATACTGCTGTGTACGGCTAGAGTAGCTCAAAGATTAGCTGCTTTTTATCAATTTTATTTTAACCATATCTCAGATTGTGATTAAGGAAATGTTATTATCATGATTTTTATCATTTTCTTGCCCACCCCTAGTTAAGAAGTTAAAAAAAAATAGAACTGTTGTGTTCAGAAAATTGGTTTATTTATGATTTTATGCATCAGTTTTATTGCCTACTGTTTCTCCATTTGAGGCAGAACGTCACCATTTAATGAATTAAACACGAACTAATTAGCAGAAAACCGTTAATAATTTAGTACTTAACCATGGTTATCTCAGTTTTGAAGATTCACTTTCCTTACTGGCGAATCTTGGGAAAATGTCTTAGATTGTGATTTGATCATATCACTCTGGGAAATTTGATAAACCAATTTAAAGACAGATTCATGAGTAATGAAATTAAAGCTTAGTCACAGGCTTACTGCAGATCCTGAGCAGCTACAGCATAAAAGCAGCTCAGTGATATCCAGCGTGTAAAAATTCCTCAAACTGTTCTGGCAAAAGATTTCAAATGTGACCTCTGAATACTCCTAAACCTAAACCCCTCTGTGCATACTTTTCCCAACTTGTCCCTAGCCCCGTTTACATCCTAACCTTTAATCCCTTCTCTTTCTCTGTCCCAAACCTTTATAACCCTTCTGTTCCCTCTCCCATTGTTTAGTTGTTCTTTAGTCATAGTACCATATGGTTTGATCATGTAATTAAGTTATTTATTCAAAAAAAACTGTAACAATACTTGTATAACAAACACAATTTTTATTTTCAAATCTTCTCTGAAGTTTTGTCAGTTAAGGGACAAAGAAAATAACAATTGTAACTTAAACACACGAAAAACTATTTACATTTTCCCCAGAAGAGTCTCTCTAACGTCTCATTATTCCTCTGTAAAACATAGGGGTTAGGGTTATCACCAATGATGACTTGGACCTCAGACCCCAGAGGGTTACCCATCATCAGTGATGACCCCAACACTAACCCTAATTCTCACCCAGGCAATCAAATTATTTATTTATTTTCTTTGCAATTGGTTCAAATATAATTCCAAATTACACACACTGAAGAATAGTCATGCTTTGTTTTTTCCAAATTAAAAAAAAGAAAAAGCACATTTTTACCTTTCTCCAAAATGTGGGGTTTGGGTTACCACCTATATTGCACTTGCATTTCGGAAGGTTAATACATACGACACAAGCCAAATGAAGCAAAAGAATACTGTCTGACAGGAAAATGAGAATACAGTGTTAGGGTTATGTTGGTGTAAGGTATTATGTTGGTGGGTTATGGTTTAGGTTTACTTCTCAATATCAGCAATGACTTGATCTCGGATGTTAACTACACCTGAATTTCATCTCTTTGGGGAATAGGTTGGCCTGGAATCAAAATGGGACATGATCATACAGACGTCTTATTTTGCAGCCTGTCACTGTGTGATGCCCGTCTCTCTCTGAGCTCAGAGCTGTCAAGGCACGTACGGTGATGACTGAGGCGAGGTTAGTTACTTGTAGCCCTGAGGGGTCTTTGCATGAGCTGCTGTTCAGCTGATTCCTTCACGGTGCTGGCTTTGCGTCGATTTGAGCGTGTACTCGTTGTGCACCGTCATATTTTAGCCACAGGCTGATGTGTGGAGAGTTGCTTACCGTGGGGATGGGTGGGTGTGAACAACCAGCTGACGTACTAGAGAGTGGAGAGCTGGTCTGAACAGGCCCCTGTGTGAAGGTAAAGCTGCACTTTAATGGAGGAAAAGGCACCAGGCGCTTTAAAGAGGAGGCCCGTCTTTGGTGGCCACCTGTTGACACTGACACACACTAATCAGTGGGCAAACAAATTAATTTAGCTGCTTTCAAAGCTCTGCATGAGCACATTGTGGCAAATCTCCTGAAACAGAAACCTTTCTAGTTACCTCAGGGTAATTTGGAAGACATCATTGGGCTGAAAAAAAAAGTAGTGCCAGAGAGAGCCCAGCGCCACCTTTAGACACCCAGGATCTCTTCATTGTGCTGCTGTAGAAAGTGGCCAGTGTCATGTAAATGGCTTTTATTTTTGCCTCATCATGCTTTTTGCTGGAACGCCACGCGTTTCAATGGCGGGCTGCAGCGCGGCGCTCTCCCACTGCCTCACACAGGGCTTTGTGCTGTCACTCTCAGGGTGCTCCCGCTGGAAGGAGGTGCAAAGGGGTAGCATAGGGTGGGAGGCGGGGCTCGGGTTGGGCACGAACAGCGAACTCAGTGAACCCCCCGCAGGCCTTAGCCATGCTCGCCACCCTCCCAACTTTTCCACTTCTATCCTTCCTCCTTCCCTTCATCTTCCTCCTCCCTTTTCCTTCTTTCGCTCTCTTTTCTTTTTGGTCCTGTCACTTACAAAAATGGACCTAAAGCCAACTGGGCCTGATCCCAGAACTGGCCTGTTACCGCTGGCCTATCAGGAGCTACCACAGAGGTCACCTGATGCAGTCATTGAGAGTTAACAGAGAAAACAAGGGGAAAACAGATCTGTGGAAACAAAGCTGTGCCCTTCTCGGGGGCTTTCTCTGTTTGTGTGTTTGTGTGAGCGTAGAAAACAGTCTGTAGGTCAGTAACCTTTCTCCTGGAGCCACAGAAGTGCGCTTGGTTTAAGCACAACAAAGACCTCCCAGCCTGTCATGGCTTTCAACGACCCATGCTCAATTGTCGAGAAGATGATTAAGCTGTCACATGTTCGCCTATCTCTCTTGGATCAGATGTGATATCACTTACTGAAATTACAAACTACAGCCATGTGATAACTGCTGAAGCATTTTCATAAGCACTGAGCAAACTGAAAACAATATAATGCTGCTGAAAGGTCCTCAGCTTTGGATCCTATGATTTGAGTCAGACATTTATTTTTGTTTTTGCACACTGAACTGACTAAAAGAGACTGTCGTCTACCTTCTTAAAAATTCTACCTCTGTGTAATAAATTCTTCTGTTTATTCTCTTGCTAACAGATGAACAAACACCCTCCAAATCCAACCTGTACTTCCTCATCTCCAACGAGGGAAACCAGAACCTGTACGTGTCCCAGGCCAACATGTGGCTGTATTTCCGTATACTTCCAGGTGGTCCTCAGAAGGGCATCAGGAGGAAAGTGACGGTCAAGATCCACTACCAGGAGGCCACGGCTGTCAGCAGAATGGAAGGAAGCCCAGGAGGTGGAGGCGGCGGAGGGGGAACAGGTCGCTGGGTTCTGGTGGAGAAGCGGGTGGATCTGAAGCGCAGCGGCTGGCATACGTTCCCGCTATCTGAGGCGGTACGGGCAGTGTTTGGGAAGGGCAGCCGGAGACAGGACCTGGAGATCCACTGTGAGGACTGTGAGACAGCTGGAGTGGCTCCTGTTCTGGTGGATCCCAGTGACCCATCCCACCGGCCCTTCCTGGTGGTGCGTGCACGACAGCTGGATGGAAAGCACCGCATTAGAAAGCGGGGGCTTGACTGTGATGGCACCAGCGGGGGCTTGTGTTGTCGACAGCAGTTCTACATAGACTTCCGGCTTATTGGCTGGAACGACTGGATCATTGCACCAGCAGGTTATTACGGTAACTACTGTGAGGGCAGCTGTCCGGCCTACATGGCAGGCGTGCCGGGCTCAGCTTCATCCTTCCACACTGCGGTAGTTAATCAGTACCGCATGCGGGGGATGAGCCCGGGCTCAGTAAACTCCTGCTGTATCCCCACCAAGCTCAGTACTATGTCTTTGCTCTACTTTGACGATGAATACAACATCATCAAGAGGGACGTGCCCAATATGATCGTGGACGAGTGTGGCTGCGCCTGAGTCCACACTGGCCCGTCATTATCTGGACTGTCAGGAAGGCCTTTTGTACAAACAGGATGTTATTGTACGGTACACATATATATCTATACCTACTGTATGTGCAAGCAACACACACTGGTACCATCTAGCAAAAGCAAGTATCACTGTTGTGTCCACGTGTGTTTGCACGTGTCAGCACAGGCGTGTGTATTTATCAGAGTGAGCGACACGCTTGCCGCCCGCATTCTGCCCATTCGTTGGTCAGCGGCGGCACGAGAAGGGAACGCTTATCACCAAATGATACTTTTCTCTAGTTTGCCATTTCTAGTTAAAAAATAATGGCCCGTCATCTCCTCGTAAATGAAGATTTAAAACAAAACAAAACAAGCGCTTAAGGAAAGTGACATGATTGGCTTCACTGCCCACACGCCCCCTGCCCTGCTCCTCCAACCCTCTGAAGTACTCTGAGCACATAACAGACTTGTGTTTTTACAAAGCACTGACAGTTCATCAGCTTATACAATTCACCAGCACTTCCCTGCCATGCAGACAGACTCAGTCTGGCTGTCCTCTCTGGTGGAGTTAAACTGGCAGCGCTTAATGCCTTGCAGGATTACAGCCTTCACAGCAGCGCAGCGGCAGAACAAAGTCCTCCACTGAGCCCCCACCGCCACCTCTGCAGCCGCCACTGCTGGCGTTATTGTGGCCGTCACTCTTGTGTTGACAGAGAGAGAACTGCTTTCTCCTTCCCCCTGAGGCTCAGCAGAAGCCAGTCTGCAGACTTGGAGACTCTAGTTTTGGCCCAGTGGGTCACCACAGTGCAGTGCAGCACTTGCAGAAACTGAAATGCACACCCTGAATAGCACTTGTATAAATAAATGCCTTCCAAGGGGTACTGAGTGTCCTGTCCTATCGCTGAATAAGTGCCACATGAGCTATGCAATGTATAGTAACCTATACCCATACTCAACATGCTATTAGACTGAATCCTCTCCCCCTCTCTTTCTCTTCTTCTTCTTCTTTCTCTCTTCAGTCCTCAACTCTTTATCAATACTTGAAATGTAATCTTTCGCTTCCTTTCCAAAGCGAATGATTGTTGTGACGTTTGCACTGAAAAGTTGCGGATTTAGCGAAACAAAAACTGCCATTGAAAAGTTATTTTTATAGAAGTAAATTTGAATTTTGTTTCAGATGTATTTTAACTAATTAATGGAACCAAAGAGGCCACGATTTTAGCTGTAGTGCTCGGACGGCAAGGCCGCCAGGTCACTGTGTAAAATACCGTTTGTGATCATTTGTAAAAGGCCTACCACCGCATCAGGGTACGACATTTGATTCTCCTGTCTTAGCTCTATTTTCATTCTCTGTTTTGTACAATGAGCAACATTTCATTTTTCATCTTTAATTCTATTTTTTGTTCCAGTTTTCTATTTAATAAGAAAAGCTACTTTAGTTCCTGTCTAAGAAACATTTAGTCCAGTAAATGTCATCTGTACAGTTTATGTAAAATAAAATGTTTTCTTAAATATTTTGTAACTTTAACTTCCTTTCTGCATCATGTTTTAAGTGTGACTGTTTTTGCCTAATGACAACATTCATAATATATTTTATTATTATTATTATTATTATTATTATTATTATTATTATTATTATTATTATTATTATTATTATCCCGTAGGAACACTGCGTTACTAAAACCGTGATTTTTTTTTTTTTTTTTTTTTTTTTTTTTTTTTTTTTTTTTTTTTTTTTTTTTTTTTTTTTTTTTTTTTTTTTTGCTGTTGTTGTTGCTGTTGTTGCTGTTAAATCTGCTAAGGAGCATTGGGACCAGTCATAAGGTAAAATTCAAAAATAAAGTCAAAATGTCAAGAAAAAAAGTTGAAATGATGAGAATAGAGTCAAAATAGTAATTTTGATTTGATGGACCAGATGTTTTTTTTCCTCCACATTCCAACTTTATTCTGAAAATTCAAAGTAATAAAAGAAAAACTCTTCCTGTAGAAAAACTTCTTCACCTAAATGTTTCGCTAAAAACACTCTAGTTGTTAACGTTCTATGGTGTGTGTGTGTGTGTGTGTGTGTGTGTGTGTGTGTGTGTGTGTGTGTGTGTGTGTGTGTGTGTGTGTGTGTGTGTGTGTGTGGCCCCCTAACTGACTTCACTGTTGTTGGTAACGGGTGGCCCCCTCTGGCTCCACCCCTGGGTGAAAGTGTTGGGTTTGTGCTTTAGTCTTTTCTGTGCTTTAGGCTGATATCCACCTAAACAAAAGGGTGAGGCTGAAGTTGCAAGAAAAACATGAGCACATTTCAATCTTTGTCTCCACTGGTTCAAACATAAAACATTTCTCTGCTGTCGCCTGCCAGGACCAAGTGTCTCTCATAAGCTGGAGCTGTAGAACAGTAATTACAAGCATGATTAACAGCTTCAGTGGCATCCACAGCGAGTGCCAGCGGACAAACCTTCAAATACCTGCCCGATTCCTCCTTGGCTGCAGAGTCTGTTGCCGTGCTTATTTGTCATCTGTCTGCACGGCGTGTTGTTTTAGTTTAGGATACTTGTGCACATGCTCATGCAGGCTGTTACATCAGACCTGTTTCCCTCTGCATCACAATGTTTCTATTTCCCAGCGTAGGTCTGCAGTTGCTACAATGTGTCAACACTTTATGCAACAGCACAAGGCTTGCCCGCCTGAATGTCTGTCTGTCTGTGCCAACACCTACCAACGGCAAGATTTCAAATAATGTTTCTGCAGAGCCTCCATCACAACACATCACATGTCCCTGTTAAAACATCAGCCAGATAATTGCTCTAAATGTGTCTATTAGGACCTGCCAGGAAGCGCAATGAGATTTGTTTACCTGCAGGGCAAATAGCACGTTAGGGAGGGATCAGTGTAAGTAACTTTTTTACCTGGAACACCGCGTAGGAGTGAGAATAACCTTGAAGAGCAAGAGAACATTTCTCTATAAAGACAAATTATGAAAACAAATCAGTGTTATGGTGTCTGACTGACAGGTGAAGAAGAGAAATGATCTGTCACAGAGTTTTTTTTGTTTAATACTTACTGGAGGAACCTGACAACGTGTGCAGAGAGCAGGGAGGTGCGTAGCTGTCTTGTCATGCTTTCCAGTGCATGCCAAAATCTCCACAGCTGGAATGTTAACGACGCCAAGCTGGAGCTGCAGGCCATTAAAGCAGAGCTGCATTCTGGGCCACACACTCGCTCCCTTAAAATCACATTACAGGTGCGTATTTTGTAGGCTTTTGGCATCGATAATCACTGGAGCTGTACACACGTTCCCAAAGGCACCTTTAAACAAACATGCACATACACAAGTGCAGCCTCTCCAACCCCCGAGCTATCAGCTTAAACAAATATTGTCCTCCTTGCCCTCCCACATCTAAAACCGTCACAGGTTGAGGTCATGACAGCTGCCAAGTTGACAGGGTCAGCTGGTTTATCGCCGCAATAGCAGCGCTTATTCTTCCAAATCAGCCCTGGCCGCATTCACTAATGAATTTATGATTATTCATCGCCCGGGGCTAGGAATTCCTCTGCTTGTGTTTGTCTCCGTGGTCTGGAGGAATGCATTACATGTGTTGATGGGGATGTACTGATTGCCCACGTACCCTCTACAAAGGGATTGTTGGATGGTAAGGAAGGTTTTATACCCACCATCCTAACCCTCCACCAAATAGGTGGAGGGTTAGGATGGCTTTAATCTCCATTAGAGGTGATAAAATCCTGACCTTTTTTTCCAGCCTCAAGATATTGTCTAGAGGGACTTTAATTCTACGGAGATATGCCATTAAATCTAAGACAGGAGGCTCATTCTGCCTCTATTTACCTCACCCTACAACCCATAGTGACATTTTGACCTCTGGAGCAACATGGACTGTGCTCCTTGGGAGCTCCTTCTCACAGGAGGATTACGGCAGCCGTGAAAAGGCTTTGCAACTTGAAAGCATATTTGTGATCACTAATGAGCCCAAAAACTTCATTAATCCAGATATTCCAGCCTCGATTTCTTTTTCTTTTCTACTTTTTTGCCCGTCTGTTGGGTTAATCAAAATGATGCAATCAGTTTACTGTGCCAAAGGTGACACTGGGAACGACCAGTATGGAAGTGCTGGTTAGGATTTAAGTTGACTGACAGGAGCACCAACTCTGACTTTTGGTTTTACAAATGGAAAACAGCATTAACACTGCTTCTAAGTGTTGTTACCAGATCAGTGATTATATTTTCTCTCTTCTGGCTGCTGCTGAGCAGGAGGTGAAGAGGTCAGCGCGGCACAGGGCGTGTATTTTTGTGAGTCCACAATGTCATAATGTCAGGGTTGTTTCTTAGCAGATCAGTAGAACAACTGAAGCCTTGTCACCAACTCTCCGCCTGCCCCCCAAACTGTCTCGCTGTCAGCCCCTAAACCTTCTCACCTTCTCACCCCACCTTCCACCATCCCGACCTCCTGACTCCCAGAGTACTGAAGGCAAACTCAGGGGCAACAAAGCCCTCATTTGTTGTTGTCTGTGTTGCCCATCTTAATGATAGAATGGATGGATATGTGAGACTAAAGGGTACAGTCTTAGATTCTGCTATGTTTCCTTTCAGCATAAATTTGTAATAATCTGCAACACAACCTGAAATACAACACCATGAGTAATTTGCAAAAGCAGATTAATATGACCATAGATTGTAGGAAAAGTTAGAAGCAGACTGCGTGGTCTTTGTGTTTTGGAGCCAGAAATGTATTTCAATGAGAGCATGAAGTACTGCACACAGACAAAATAACATCCAAATAAAATCCTAAAATTTCACTCACCAAAACTGCAACCATATTCTTGGTCAGATAATTTACTAAAAATGCTCCAAAGGGCTCCAGCAACACAAACACAGTCCAGAGGTCCAGCAGACAGCTAACAGCTACAGGTGCCTGCTTGCCATCCACCTGTCAGTCAAAGAGGCCACACCTCTAATTTTCAAAATGTTAAGCCTTGAAGGTACAACAAGTCTTTTTTTAACAACAAAAGAAAAAGAAAAGCTCTCAAATATACATTTATTAGTATGTAATTATGTCTTTCACCAAACTGATGCATGAATCCATTAAAAATACACAGGATATGATCAGAAGAGGTGTCCCCTTCAGTAAAGAAGCAAAAACAAGAGGAAAATGATAATATGACTGGCATCTGGATAAAAATCTCCCTCCTCCTCTTTATCACAAACCTCATCTCCTAAGCTGTTCTCCTAAGTTAGATCTCTAATACGCAAAAACATGCATAAACATGCTTATTCGTTCCCAAGGTTGTCACAAGTACTTACTGTCAGCAGATTAAACAGGTGACACTCATATTTCCAGACAGCTGACAACAAGCCAGCTAAACAGCCACAACAGCTGGTTATAAGCTAATATTATGGCAGCTAATGTTAGGCCTAGCACTCCTAAAAATCACACTTTCCCTCTGATAACCAGTTCAATAACTCTCTCACATTGTATGACAGTTTATTCAAGTGTCCAAGTTCAACAATGTTAGAGCCATATGAAAGGAAGATTTCTCTACACCGGCTAACAGCAGCTAACAGGGACTGACAGCAGCTAACAGCAGCCAAAATCATTGAAGTAAGAAATAAGCATAACTGACTCATCAACTCATACTGGACTCCTTTCACAAAGTTTTAGCCTCTTCCAGAGGAAATAGATTTTGATACCAGTTAGACTGACAGCCTACACTCACTACAGAGCAATGGTGCCCAGAGCTGTTTGTCCTACAGCAACCATCTCAGCTAGGATTATGCACTTCAGTTAGCAGGAGTAAGAAAACAGAATTCAGTTGACAACCTGCAATCTACTGATATCTAACTTTAAACGGGTCAGTTTTAGTAAGAATGAAATCGATAAAGGGGATGATAAAGAGGAGGAGATTGGGAAGGATAGAAAAACGTTGGACTTGATGGGATTTCTGCGACCTTTAGTGATCCACTGCTGCCTTTCCCCATTTCAGTCCACCAACTTAAAAAGTAAGGGAGTGAAGAGTCAATAGCAATGCAACCAGTCAGTCCATTTCAACCAGGGACCAATAGAGCTTGTGTTCAGCATAAAAACAATAAACAAACAAGCAATCAAGAAAGAACAAGCCACCTTGATTGCAGTCTAGGTTAAACTGAAACAGAAAGAGAAACCTAGAATTAGAGCATTAAAAAATAAACCAGTGTGGCTTCAAACAAATGTCAGTTAAGATAAGGGGTGTAAACAGTGGTGGTTAGGGTTAATGTTCGGGTCATGACTGAGACCTCACATGCACCCTTTTTTAAAGAATTTTTGCCGAAATGAACCAACAAGATAGTGTTTAACTTTCCGTTAAACACTATCTTGTTGGTTCATTTCGGCAAAAATTCTAGGAAGTGCAAAATATTTTTATTTGACATGTAACATCTAGTTTCTGAAAATTGTCATTTTCAGTAGGTAGATGAACTGAAACTGGACATATCAAGGTGGCTTAGATTTTATATGTATGTTTATATTAGTAGGATTATTTAAACCTTCTAAGTATATTCATTATGAATCAAATAAAATCATTTACATTAATAATAAATCCATACAAATTTTCTTTAAGTTACTTTTTGGTCAGCTTAGATATTTTGTATATATTTGTATGTTTTTAATACAT